CCATCCCTGGTCCAAGCCAGCCTTTCTCATCACAGCCTGTTCACAGTGCAGCAGGTGGATGGGGTTGGAGATAGAGGATATTGATGGGAACGTGGGTGGAAAAGGGAGATGGGGCCTAGAGCCTAGGAAAGTCAAGAGAGGAGGTAAGATGAATAAGGATGGAAAGATGAGGGGAGGGAATTCCTGCAATAGGAGAGGAGGTGTATGTTGGTAATAATGGAGTGAGGAAGGCCAAGAGCCTTGAAAAGGAGGGGGAACTTTTTGGCATGGCCATTATAGAGAAAGAGAAATGGCTCATAAGCATTCTTTGCTCTCTTTCTCCTTCCCTTTACCCCCCCCCCCAAACCGATTTTGTTTGTTGCTTTATTTAAAACTAGAGGCCCGGTGCACGACATTCGTGCACTGGGGGCAGGGGGGTCCCTCAGCCCAGCCTGTGCCCTCTCACAGTCCAGGTCCCCTCAGGGGATGTCCGACTGCTGATTTAGACCCGCTCCCCACAGTTGGACATCCTCGGGTCCTTAGCAGAGGCAGGAGGGGCTCCTGCCATTGCCACGGTGCTCACCAGCTGTGAGCCCAGCTTCTGGCTGAGCAGCGCTCCCCCTGTAGGAGCACAATGACCACCAGGGGGCAGCTCCTGCGTTGAGCATCTGCCCCCTGGTGGTCAGTGTGTGTCATAGCAACTGGTCGTTCTGTAGTTTGGTTGATTTGCATATTAGCCTTTTATTATATAGGATGGCAGAGTACATGGAGTGAAGCAGGACCTAACTAGGATAAAACAGCCTTAGAAATTGTGCATCTGTGTATACTTACCATTTGGCTTTTATTTTCGTTATGTTACACTTGATAGTGTCTGGGTTACAAGTGCTTTGCAGACTAGGGTGAAAGATGATAAATAAAACATTTACACTTTAGGCTTTGGAATATATTGGTTAATTGCCAGGCTACTGTGTTTTAGATCTTGTGTGATTTAGGGGATGATTAGAAGCAGCTTCTCTTTGGGAAATAAGTCAGATTTGGTGTAAGACTCAGGCTTTACTGATGTGAACCACAGACCTTTAAACCCACAGTTGACAACCTTACATCATTTTGGACGTGAGAGTATCTGTCAGTAGATTTTGCCCTTATAATTTCAGAGGCAAAAATTAGTGCTTACTTGCAGGGTTATCCAGAGGTTTGTCATGCTGCACGCAATTAGCAATTTGCAGTCTTTGCAGAAGGTGCCAATGGCTTTAACCACTTCTGTGGACTTTACCAGTCGTTCAGCCATTAAATGTGTCAGTGGCAACACTATACAGACTCAGACTTGAGTGTCTATCAGGATCACCTGAAGGGCTTAGTAAAACACAGGTCACTGGGTCGCTGCCAGAGTTTCTGACTCAGGGGGTTGGGGTGGATTCCAGAATTTGCTCTTCTAACGACTTACCAGGTGATGCTGATGCTGCTGACCTGTGCCCTACACTTTGGCGGCCACTGGTCCTGTGATTCGGCTTCAGTCTGGGTTGATTGGGGGATTCTGTTGAATTACGGTAGTTTATTTACCTCTTTCTGACTTCAGTTTTCCTCCGCTGGGGTTTGGGCAGGAGGGAGAAGGAGGCTGCGTTCATTCCGCTGACAGGCTCCTCCAGGTGAAGGCCAGGTGTGCTGATGGAGTGTCACCTCGCCACTCCCCCAACCCCCAACCCCCTGAGCCAGGAAGCAGCAGTGTTTGCTCCTGACCCAAGTCTCTGCAGCAGCCTGGAGACTGAGCAGTCCAGGTCGCTGGGGGTGTGAGGATGTGACGTGCACGCCCAGAGCCTCCTGTTGGCCGGTGATTAACTGGGCATGGCCACTGGAAGGGAGCAGGAGACCCGGCTTCTCTGTCGACGTCATACTCCTTGGGTGACCTTGGACAGCTTGCTAGTCCTTGACTCCCCCACTTGACTACTTGTGTGGAAACATACCCCCCCTCCCAGCCTATGAAACAGCAGAAAAACAAAAACCCCACCTGGGGAGGGGCCTCTGGAGCATTAACCAGTGACGTGCAGAACTTGGGTGCCTGGGGAGAAAGCTTCTGTGTAAACACAATATATTATTAATAAAACGTCAAAAAATAGCATCACGCCCTCTGCTAATAATAGCTGCTTCAGGCTGCGGAGCTGCCCGCACTCCGGCTCCCAGCCGTGGGGAGGGAGGGTGGCTGTGGGTTTTGAATTTGCACCACATTTAAAAGAAGATGAAAATAGGTTTTAAAAACATTTCTTGGCATATTCATGGGTATATTCATGAGGAAAATATGATGGCAGTTTTGTATAATTCAACTTTAATAAACCAAATCATCATTTTCTTTTGATATTCATTACACTTCAGAGTTGTTTGACAATGTGGGCTGTTCCAGAGGCATATCGGCTGACTTAGGAGTGTCCCCCCCCCCAGCCCCCGTCAGCGTTGGTAAGCGGTAAGTGGGGGGAGCTGTACAAACCACTAGTGATGACTTCATCAGTGGATGGTTCCCTCAGCTCTACGGATGCACATAGCACTGCTATGTGCTGCTGTAGACACCGATCTAAAGACAGGGTTCTTGCCCTTAAGGGATTTGTAATGTAGTTTTGATTAAAAATATATAAGCAAGATATTACATAAGGAGACCGTTGTACTCTTAATACTTGTCTCCTTCAGTCATGTAAACAAAATCCCAGGCCACTTTGCGTGATATGGAGCTGCCTGAGTGACCCGGAAGACAGATTCCTGTGGCATCGCTGGGCCCTGTTGGCAGGAAGCTCAGACCTTTGTTCCTCTCCCCCCACTTCCCCAGCCCAGGGGTGTGCGATGGACGCTTCTCAGGGGTGTTGTGACAGACTGTAGAAGGTCTAGCACCCCAATGGTGGCTGCCCTCCCCCGTCCTGGGGAGAAAGCTGCTCCACACAGAGACACTGCAGGTCTCCAGGGGCCATTAGGGCCTGTCCATCCTCACCAGCAGGCATGGCCGCTCCCTCCCTGCCTTCTGCCCAGAGAGTTGTGGCTTTTTCACCCACATGGAAGCTCCCTAAGGACAGGGCCTCACCTGGCTCCCAGCAGGGACCCTCGGCCCTGCCCCGATGCACAGGGGACTTGCCTGGGGAGCTTTTAAACAAATCTCACCCCCTCCCTCCCCGAGATTCTGATAAAATTGAATGGGGAGGGGGGCGGGCGAGGGTGTGGTCTCTGGACAACTGTCAGGAAAAGCCCTTGGTGAGTGCAGGGTGCCCTCCAGGTTGAGAAGCATTGAGTTGGTGGTTGGATTTGTCGGAGAGGGTGGATCAAAGTCTCTGCTAGTCACTCGGGAGTTTTTTGAATGGAGTGAAAAATCCCACATCACAAACCTTATCTTGGAAGCTTATGCTGACTGTAGGCGCCTTTCCTGTAATGGGACCTCTCAAGGCCCCATTTGTTTGCAGGTAGAAATGGTCACTTCGAGTGTTGGGCACAGCTGGGACTCAGGGGCCAGTGCCTGGAGGGCAGTGATCCACCAACCCCTGGGGATCCCTGGTCTTGCCCCAGTATCTCATCACTAAAGGGCCTCCGGCAGGCACTCCTCATCCCTGTACTGCTCCCCTCTCGGCTACGGCCCCCTTCGCTGCTCATTCTGAGGATATATGGCACCCAAGGCGGATCTCCATTTGGTTTATAGGGCCAGTCTGTCCAAGACCCCCACTCAGCCCATTCATTACCTTTTCTACATCTCGGTGCTCTTTTGTGGTTCGCCCCGGCCAGCAATGATGCCTTCTTTCTATCTGTGTTGTTGGAAGAATAAAACCTACAGCTGGAGTGTGGATGAGAAGCCTGCCAAGTAGACTCCGAGCAGCGTGCTGACCTGCTTGTTTCTGATGTCTAGGCTTAGGGAACATATTTCTTAGAGCTCTATTTGTTAGAATTCTAAATAGGTGCCACTTCAATGTTATGCGGGAAACTTCGGGCCATTTCTCAGTCCAGAGAAGGAAATCCAAGATGGATAATGAGAGATGGTTTTATTTACTGGTGAAGGAAGAAGGCTGAGGAGGCTGCCAGATGGGAGACATCAGGGTGGGACAGGGATGATCTAGAGTTAACCTTGGTCATTCTCGAATTTTTTCTCTCTCCTCTGTCTCTTCATTTTCATTTGGCATTTTGACCCTTGTTACTATCATTTCCTCATACTTACTTCCATATTCTATCTTTCTTTCTCCTGTGAGTTGTTGTGTCTGGGAGCCAGAGACAGCTCCTAGGTCCCGAGCCCCATAGACTTCCCTGCTGCTCCCACACCCCAGCCTTGGCTTCATCCCTAACTTCCTCCTGTCTCGCCTGTGCTGGGTGTCTTAGCGGACCTCATCCTAACTTATTTCCCCTCATTTCTTCCCAAGAATTGCTCCATTTCACCATAAATACTCTGTAATTCAAAGGTGTCTTATCACCAGAGAGAGACATCTAGGGTGGGCTTTTGTTTTCCTATGTTTAATCCAGTATTCATGGTTTACTTTTTTATGCTCTGTGCGTTATCTGATTTCATCTTCAGGTAGAAAATATCCCCATTTGGCAGGTGAGAAAATAGAGGTTAAAAGAAGTTAAGTAGCTTGATCAAAATCAAGCAAATGTTAAATGGTAGAGCTTGGGATGTCTCATGCTAGAGCCTCCACTCTTTGCTATTGAACTCTGCACCCTCTGGCTGGAGGAGGCATGAACTGGGTTGCCAGGAGGGTGTGGGGGGTGGGTGGTTTGAATCTCATGGCCTTGGAGATTCTTCCATGCCAGCACTCATGGGAAGCTGTGAGATGATGTAGGATGTCGGAGTCTCTTCCCCATGGGGTTGATTTTTGGTGATAAAATTCTGAATCATTTTCTTAGAAATGATTCACTATCAATTCTGAGACTGTGGGTGGTTATAGTGGGAATGTGGCCAATAACGGCTGGGTCCCAGTGCCTCGGGCTGTGTCATTGTCCCTGTCATTGTGTAAATCGGCAGGTGGAGTCCTCCCAGTTACGTGTCTCAATGTTTTGTTTCCTTGCAGAGCCTGTGTCATCCTGGGGGTGATATTCCTTCTGTCATCCATATGTATAGTGAGCAAAGCCATCCATGACCTCTCCATTAAGCTGCTCCCAGAAGTGGTAAGGTCCTTCTTCTTTCTTCACACCCCCTCCTGTGTCCCCCTCTTCACAGGTTTACTGGGAAAGTTGGGCAGGTGGAGAGAGTAGGCACCACATGTTGGGAGTCCTGACGAGCTCTTTGCAGAATGTGAATTACTTGGGGCAGAGAAGCACTGGGCAAGAGGAAAAGACAAAATAGTTGAGCCTGTACTGGGTTCTGTGTCCCTCGCCTTAGATTTTTGACTATTTTTAAAATGAGATGTCTTTTATGTAAAGAGAAATGGGCTGACTTTAGTAGCAGAGTGAGCCAGTCTGTGTTGTTGATATCTATTATTCTCCGTCCATTTAACAACTGTTGTAATAAGAATTATCTTTTCCTTTGCAACTTGATACATGAGTCTGTTTAGGTTTTCTGGCGCAACTGGCATCAGAATGCAGAAACTGGAGACACAATTTCATACTGAAGTGTGTCTGACTGCTTTGTTCTCGGGGTGAGATGTGTCACCTGCACTCTGATTCTTTTTTCCCCCTCTCCTTATAAATGCTGAGAAAATAAATATTTTTACAAAATAAAAGAAATACTTTTACAGTCTTTATATAAGGCAGCTGATTTATGAACCAGGAAATGGAGATGCTGCCATTGCCATGGTTCCCTATTCAGGGTAGGGCAAGAGCAGGTTTACACTTGTTCGTATGGACAATAATCCAATAATAAATAATAACACAAGAATACACTCTGTGTTTCATGTCCTGACAACTGTAAACCTACTTTTGCCTCACCCTGGACAAGGTACATAGTGATTTAAATGCAAAAGAAAGGTCTCCTCTCAGGTGATTTGATTTGCGCTCAGCTACATGCACCCTGCTAATATAAGGCCTAAATTATTAGCCCTTTAAGTTTACTTTTAGAAAAACATATGTTAATCCCTTTTGAGGCAATGTATTACATGCATGTGTGCGCATGTGTTTATGTGGAAGGTGAAAGCAAAGCAGAACATTGTACTGCATTTCACGGAGCTATTAAAGCAACTGCGTGAGGTTGCCCGCCCCCACGCTGAGGCAGAGCCATGCCTTAACTCATCAGGATCTTACCTCTTATTTATTATCACAGATGGAAACGCTTGTTCTCTGATTTCTCAGTGACAGGAAGAAAAGATACCAGGGTAGGAATGTGTTTAGTGTTTTTTAGCAGAGCTAGCTCAGCAAGTATTACTGTTTATAATCGTCTGTGCTCTTCATCTCACTGTTGTTGTCTTGCCCTGATCTTCCTGGTGGCCTAGGATCCTGGACTTTTTCATCCTTTCCCTCCAACAGACTTGCGGTCCTGTGTTCCGTTCTGTCAGAATCAGAAGCTTATGTGAAGTGTAGACGTGAAAGTATTAGTGTGATTAATTAAGATGTTCTAGACCCTGTATAATATTTGCATTTTACAGGGTCTAGAAATCTGACTCCACTCTAAGTCATGCTTATTGGTGGGGAGTTTCAGCCCCCGGCTAGTTGACACACTCACTTCTTTAGGTGTAAACATGTGTTTCCAGCAGGACAGCTTGTTATGGATTGGAGAGCTGTGCTCGCAGACCAACCCTTGCAGGGCCCTGCTTGCTTTTTCTCTTGATAGGTGAACCATTTTTAACTGGGAACAGTCTCATATCTTATGGTGCAAATACTCCAACTTAAATTCCACATTGAGGTCTAAATTCCCAGGCGGGGATTAGAGAGGGTGAATAACTCCACAATTTTGCCCAAGCCTGGACCTGTCCTTGGGGAACTCAGCCCACTGCATTGTTATCAGTCTTAGCGTGGGACTTAAAAATTACACCCATTCTTCGTTACCCCTTAACAACTCTGAAGTGAGGGGTTTAATAGTTGGTGTGGTTTTTTTAGTATATATTTTTATTGATTACAGAGAGGAAGGGAGAGAGAAAGAGAGATAGAACCATCAATGATGAGAATCATTGAGCAGTTGCCTCCTGCACGCCCCCTACTGGGAATCAAGCCCGCAATCCGGGCATGTGCCTTTGACTGGAATCGAACCCAGGACCCTTCAGTCCACAGGCCAACGCTCTATCCACTGAGCAAAACCAGCTAGGGCTGTTGTGTTGTTTTTTAAAAGCCATCGGAGTTATAGAAAGGTACCAAAGGCGCCTTCAAGCTGCATGAGCTCCCTTCTCCAGAGGGGAGGCCTTCTAATCAGCTGAGTGGCATGTGGGACCAGGTAAATGCTGCAGGGTTATAGCTGATGATAGTTCCATATTGGTCTTTGGGTTCCCTGTGTCTGTTCTAGAAATTTTGTGGAAGCCAGCAGGCTATAGCCAGACCCCCAACCCCAACCCCTGCCGACACTCAAAATGAGTGTTTTTACACAGTGCCTCATCCTAAATGAGGAGTCACAAACTCAGATGCCCCCCAGAGCCAGTCTCAAAAACGGGAGAATTGCCTAGGTCCGTGGCACCTAGAGAGCGTGCCCCCGGATGAAGGATCTGCCCTCTCATGAGGTGCCCTGTGAGGTTGTGGACCTGGGGTGGTCAGATCTTCCGAGTTTTTAAGAGAAAGTGGAAACCTTGTGTTTAATGTGAAATAAATTGGCAACTGATTTAAAAACTTGAAGTTCTGGCTGGGAGTGGGTGGACAATTTCACATGGGCCCAATAAAGCATGGCTTTGGGCTGCTTATGGTGTGGTGGTTGAAACCAGAGAGACTGGTGGTTAGGGCTACATATTATGACTTTAGGTTGGAGTTACAGCTTCGCCCTTCCCTTCCCTTCCTTACAGAATTGCTTTCTTTACATGTCATTTCTGTCAGGTTGTTACTGTGGGTTTGTCAGAAGCAGCATTTTTCCTACCTTAGGCCTGTTCCCCTGGCAGCTTGCTTTCTTTTCTTTTTAAAAAAAATACTATATTTTTATTGATTTTAGAGCAAGAGGAAGGGAGAAGGAGAGAGACTTAGAAACATCGATAAGAGAGAAATGTTGATCAGCTGCCTCCTGCATGCCCTCTACTGGGGATTGAGCCCACAGTCCAGGCATTTGCTGGGCCAGTGTGGCTCAGTGGTTGAATGTCGACCTCTGAACCAGGAGGTCATGCATGGTTCGATTCCCAGTCAGGGCACATGCCCGGATTGCGGGCTCAATCCCCAGAGTGGGGTGGGCAGGAGGCAGCTGAACAATGATTCTCTCTCATCATTGATTTTTTTTATCTCCCTCTCCCTCTCCCTCTCCCTTCCTCTCTGAAATCAATAAAAATATATTAAAAAATATAATAAAATAATTGTCCTAAGATGACAATTCTAGTGGCTGCTGCCCTAAACATTCTGATTTTTTGTATTTCTGAATTTCTGATCAGAGTTACTCTCATTTATGGCCTGAGGTCATTTCAGGTTGGGCCCCTTTTGAGGTAGGAGGTATTGAGCAGAAGGAAATGCGGGGAATGGTGGGTGGGCAGGAAAGCAGTTTTGGGGCCAGGTGAGCAGTTTCACAGCGTGTCAGCCCAGGTCTCCGGGGCAAGTGCCTGGTCTACGCGGGTGTGTCTCTGAGGTTCCCTTAGTACCTGGAGCATTGTACCTGTGGGATGAGGACATGGAGCTGACGTCAGGGACACATCTCAACTCCGTGACTTCCTAACTGGAGAAACCTGGGCAGGTTGCTCCACCTTTTTCTGCCTCACTTTCTTTGTCTGTAAAATGGAAATAACAGCACCTTTTTTGTAGGATTGTTAAGCAAACAAAATAAGAAGATGTAAGTAACGTGCTTATTAGCACATAACTACTGGGTAAGTGTTGGCTGATATTACTGGACTAGAGAAGTTGGTGGACTTTTTGGTGCCTTTAGTTTTGGAAGCTTAGATGGGACTGAGCAGTCCAGGAAATGACCTCAGTGACACTGTACTCAGCTCAGTCAGTCAATAATGCTGTAAGCTCCTTCTTGAGCAATAACCTCTAAATCCCGGATGCGCCATCAGCAACAGAGAGATTCGTCTTCCAGTATGACACGCTCTCAAGCATAACTCTAAGTTTAATTTGGGACCTGTGTTGACAAGTACTTTAAAAACACACACACAAAACAATCACACACAGTCAAGGTCCTCCACATCCCCCCAGCCAGCCTCTCCCAGCACCGTGCAACGAAAGGTGGAAACCTGGTCAGACTGTCAGTGGTGTTCCACCCTTGTTACTGCAAACAGAATAATCCCAGTACTTAAGCAAGATTGACCTCTTTATTCATCTTCGAGACAAGGACCTACCAGCTTCCAAGCAGAAGAGAGCTGAGCACTGAGGGAAGTCGATTATTATTGGCTGAGAGCATTCAAGGCAGAGAGAGCCCAGAAATAGGTCTGTACATATCTGGCCAACCGGTTTTCAACTAAGGTGGCAGGGCAGTTCAGTGGAGGAGAGTGAAATCTCTACAAGGAATGGTGCCAGAGCAGCTGGACCTGGATAACCATATGGACAAGTTGGACATCAACCCTTATATCCGAATTAACTCAAAATGGGCCATAAAGCTCAATGGAAAACCTAAAACTCTAAAATTTCTAAAAGAAAAGAAAGGAGAAAGTCTTTGTAACCTTGGGTTAAGCAAAGGTTTGTTGAATCCAGTACCAAATGTATGAACCATAAGATGGAAACATGGAGAATTGAATTTCATCAAAATGAAAAAGCTTTGTTCTTCCCAGACGCCATTAGGAAAATGACAGGACAGCATAGACAACACCCATGGATTAGACAAAGGACTTGTATCCACAATGTATAAAGAACAGCTTAATAAGAAGACAAACAACCTAATAAGAAGATTGGCAAAAGATTAGTACAGACAGTTCACAAGACAAGAGATAAATGAATGGCCAGTAAGCACCCGAGAAAATGCTCACCATTATTCATCATCTGGGCATTACAAATTAAAACAACTATAAGCTACCACTTCCTACCCACTGGAGTGCCCGAATTAAGAAAAGCAAATGTGTGGAGCATCGGCAGCTCTCATGTACTGATGGTGAGAGTGAGATGGTTCATCCACATTGGAGAAGAGT